CCTGAGTAGCTAGGATTACAGGCGTGAGCCACCAGCGCCCGGCTCTTCCCTATTTTGATATGGATTAACTTTTATAGATATGTGCAGATGTCACAGATAATTGGGCTATAAACTCAAGACTTGTGAATATTATATAAGTATACATCAAAACAATTCCTTTTGGATTTATGTAAAATATTAATTAGAATGACATGGGGAAACTAGTTCCTCAATTTAGAAACTATTCTTTATATTTCCCTTAAAGAGCATATATGTGTATGTTATACTATAAATATAAATGTAACAAATTCCCATCTGTAACTAGACTAATAAAATTTTAAGTGTTTATATTAACATAGTGCTTCATGATTATCTTAAGATTCAAGAACTTACAGCAAATGAACATCAACTTTTTAAGTTAAAAGAAGATGTCAGAGAAGCACAGAAACAACTCAAGAAACAAAGTTTTGCTCTGAATAAAATGGAAATGGAGAACTTAAGTTTGGTTCAGAAGCTTCATGAAAGCCATGAAGAACTGAAATCTGTAATGAAAGAAAGAGATGATGTAAGGAGAATAGAGCAGACTCTAAAGTTAGAGAGAGATCAACTCAAGGAAGACCTGCAGAGAGCCATAGCCAGAGTAAGTTGTGCACTTTCCCTCTTAGCTAGTCAACATCCTTGTTTTTTACTAGAATATGTTCATTGTAGAAAGGGATTTCGTTTTTATATATCCATACATGCATATAATGCACTTTATTATTTACTCCCCCTCAATTTTTTAAGCAACTTGTAATGGATTTCATTATTCTGTTTATACGTGCATTGTACTTACGGCATACTCACCCTCCTAGCCTCTTCTTTCTGTTTCACCCAGAGAGCCAGAATGAATTGGCATTCTTTTTTTCTTTCTTTTTAGGTCTATATTCCACATAAGAGAGAGAACAGGCAATAGTTGTCTTTCTCAGTCTGACTATTTCACTCAGTGATCCTCAGTTAAAATCATTTCCCTTCAAATAATGCAATTTTATTTTCTGTAGCTAAAGCTCCACTGGGTTTATATACCACATTTTCTTACCCATTCATGAGCTGATCATCACCTAGGCTGATTCTATAGTTTGGCTGAATAGTTTGGCTAGTATAAACGTGTATGTGCAGATCTCTGTTGTATGCTGACATATTCCTTTGAATGTATGCCCAAGAGTGGTATTACAGAATCTTATGGTAGTTCTTTAGTTTTGGTGGTTTTTCCTATGTGCTGGTACTAGGGCTTGAACTCTGGAATTTAAGCTCTTACTTGGCTTTTTTGCTCAAGGATGGCATTCTACCATTTGAGCCACACCTCTGCTTTGTGCTTTTTTGGTGGTTAATCGGAGATAGAGTCAGGTTTGTCTGCTTAGGCTGGCTTCAAACCAAGATCAAAAGTGATGCTCCATTACATCTTTATATTTCTCTCGTTTAATAGTAAAGGATGTGGAAACAGGACTGGAACTAAAAATTGTTCATATGCATTTGAAAAAACAAGAACCCTTTCAACTTAGTGAGAAAGTTTTAGAGAAAACAACTCACATTGCAAAGATTCAAAAGAATTTAGATAAATCCAAAGATGAACTAAAGAAAAAGTTACATGTTGTTTGTTCTTCTTTGGAAAGTAATTATATCCAAAGTCATTTTGGAATGAGGAGAATGTAGATACATAGCTAGAAATAACAACCAAGCATTCCTAATGCAAAAATCTAAACTCTGAAATATGCCAATGTGAAGATTAAAACCTCAAGTTTCAGAGCATTTCACATATTCTTATGAGGGATTCTCAACCAGTAAAGTTGGTGCAAATACTCCACAAACTCAAATGCTTCTTGATCCAGGCAGAATACTCTGTTCATGTAAGGGATTTTGAGTTTGGGTATATGTACACGTATACATGGTGGCATTCTGTTAGCATTCTAACTTACTTTATAATTATCTCAAGATCTAAGAACTTCCAATTTTTAAAGTGGAAGATGATGTCAATAACAATGAAAGTGAATGAAATGAAACAATTGAAGAAGCAATTTGAGACCTAAAACTATGGATCACTTGTACTTAAGAAACTGTATGAAAACATCATCAAAGAGATAAAAGTTTGGGCTAAGGGTATGGATGAGCTGAGGATATGAGTCTCTCAAAATGGAAAGAGACCCATTCTGAAAAGCCCTATGCTACAGATAATAACTAAAGTGAATTCAGACTATTCTGCTATCAAGTAACTATAAGAATCATGCTTTTTATTTATTTTTTTAAAGGAGTACTAATGTATTGAGGGTTTTTTTTCTGGAAATTTCTCTGGATATTAAAAGTTGGTTGGAAAACTTAATACGTTTTCACACAAATAGGAATCATATTTTTTTTTTGTTCTTTTTCAATCATGGGGCTTGAACTCTGGGCCTGGGCACTGTCCCTAGCTCTTCAGCTCAAAGTGAGTGCTCTTCCACTTGAGCCATAGCACCACTTCTAGGAAACACCTTTTTAAAGGACTTTTTCAGAAAATTTTGGTTGCTTCATTTTTAAGAAGAGCAATGTTGGTGACATGGTTCAGTTGGTAAAGAGCGCTAGCCAGTAAGCAAAAGCAGAAGGTACTGAGTTTGAGTCCCAGTCTCAGACCTAAAAAAGAAGGAAGATGTAAAGCAGACTTTTCTTTAGGGAGGGGCAATTAATAAAAGTGGTTAAGGGTTAGAATTATTTAAATATTTGAAAGGGTTAGGTTTATAAAAGGTTAAATACCCCATTTCTGTACTTCAGAATGATTTGGAAGAATGGAACTAAATCTAAAACCTAATTTGCAGCTATGGAGAGTAAATCCTATTACCAGAAAAAAAAACGCAATTCTCCCAATTTTTCCCCCAGTGAGTTGAGGTCACTCATTGTAAGATTTTGTGATACTGTTACTCATTTTCTTCTCCTTAATTACAAGAGTAATGATTAATTCTATTTTTGAAGGTTGGTATAAAAATATGAGTAAGGTATGGAGCCACAGGCCTTTAGCTACCCAATACCTGGATAGCTAAGGCAGGAAGATCACAAATTCAAGGTCAGCCTGAACTATATAGGGGGACCAGATCTCAAAAAATTTAAATTAAATTTTAAGGTTAGAATACATGATTTGTCATTATATGTGAATGTGATTTTTGCCTATTTCTTTCTTAAACCAGGATCATCAGAATCACCAAGAGGTAGTAAAATTTGAAACGTTATTATGTGATGGAGAACCCCAACATACAGAAAGCCTGAGAGAAAAATGCTTCAAGATAAAAGTAAGTGTCCCCCATAGGAACAACATGTGACTATAAGCACCCTTCCAAGAGCCTCACAAAGCCTAAAATGGAATCAGTAGTGTCAAGCACTTTTCTAAACATAGTACCACGTGCATGTTTGGGCATAATACATACACAGATTACACAATGGGAGTTCATGGTTTTCAAATGACACTTGGAAAAGTAATTGCAAATGGTAAAGGGTTAAGCCAACCAGGTATCTAGGGGAAGAGCGATATGCTGGAGAGAATGGTTGTGGGACAGTAGTGTGCCTTGTGAGTTCAAGAACAGACAAGACTTTGGGTTTTCCACTGTGGGAGTTTGGTCCCTGTGGGCGACCCAATCTCTGTTACACTTCAAAGGGAAAATTATGGTTATAGTATTGAAAATTGAATGGAAGCAGAAGGACTGTTTGCCATACTGACTTCTAAGAATTGGATAAAGATGGTGAAGGCTTGGTCCAGAGAGGTAGCCAAGGACATTGGTAAGCCATGCTTAGATTCTGAGCATACAGTTGGAAGGTAACAAGTTATTGTCATCCTGTCAGAATACAGGATCTCAGGCAGGTACCAATGGCTCACACCTGTAATCCTAGCTATTCCAGAAGCTGAGATCTGAAAGTTGGAAGGCACCTCAGGCAGGAAAGTCTGTGACACTTATCTCAATAAACTACTCATTAAAAGCTAGAACTAGAACTGTGGCACAAGTGGTAGAGCACAAGCCTTGAGCAAAAGAAGCTCAGAGTCAGTGTACATGCCAAGAGTTAAAGCCTCAGAACCAGAAATAATAATAATAACAACATAATACAAGATCTCTCAGGACACTGTTGCTAGTGTATGGCTAGATCATGTAGCACATTCTCCACACAAGTCTGTTCAATATGCTGCTCCCCGATTTTAAAAATGTGATTATAGGAACATTTTTTAATGTAGTTTTATTTCTTTTAAGCTATGTCTATATCGGTTTAACAGATTTCACACATACTTTTTTTTTAACTTGATTCCCTAAAAAGCTTGGTGGCACAGATTGTAGTCTTTATGTTGTACTTGAGAAAATAGCTCAGTAAATTCCCTAATCAAAACATGGCAGAGAAGGCAGGTGCTAGTTGTTCATGCCTGTAATCCTAGCTACTCAGGAGGGTGAGATCTGAGAATTGTGGTTCAAAATCAGCCCAGGCAGTAATGTCCATAAGACTCTTATCTCCAATAAACTACTCAGAAAAAGCCGGTGTTGTGGCTCAAGTTGTAGAGTTCTAGCCTTGAGCAAAAGAAGCTCAGGGAGGACAGTGCTCAGGCCCTGAATTCAAACCCCAAGACCACCCAAAACAAAAAACCTGATTCTGGGAAAGGATTAGCAGATTTCTGGCTGGAGTTAGTGATGTGTAAAGAGTTTACCACACTGGTAACTGGGTAGCATGAGCCTTAGACATGTGTTTGTATGCCCTGTCTCACTGTCCTTTAGCTACAATACATACTAAATTGAGTTCACTCAGATGTTTCACTTTGCCAGTGCTTGTTCAATGGCTCACACCTGTAATCCTAGCTACTTGGGAGACAGATCAGCAATATCACAATTCAAGGCCAGCCTAGACATTACACCCCATCTCTGCTAATAGCTAGGCATGTGGTATCTGTCATCCTAGCTACATAAGAGGCTGAAATTGGTAAGATCCCAGTTCCAAGCCAGCTGTGCGAAAGGAAGAAAGCAAGGAAGGAAGAAAGGAAGGAAGGAAAAGAAAGAAAAGGGAGAGGGGGAAGGGAGGAGAAGAGAAGGGAAATGAAAGGAAAGTAATAAGAAAAAGAAAGATGTGAGAGACCCATGGCAATAGAAGAAATTGGACATGGTGGCATGTATCTGACATTTAGCCATAACAAGAAACAAAATAGGCAGATCACAGTCCAGGGGTGGATCCTGAACACAGAATGAGACCCTATCTCAAAATAACCAGTTCAGAAAACTGAGTTGGAGGCATGACTCAGCAGTTGAGCACCTGCCTTGCAAGCATTAGACCCTGGGTTTAAAACCCTAATGCTGCTTCCCATCCCTCCAAAATATCATTTAAAAGAACACACATCACAATCATAGGGAACCTGGTTTCTGGTTTTCTTTACCTATGTTCTTAAAATTCCCACACTGATTACATATCATTACTACCACCTAAAACCAATACTGTGTTTCATTTTTGCCTTTGAAACACCTTTTAATACCTTTAAATTGCACAGTATTAAAGCATTAGTTGTGTTACAATTCTAGTATTATAACTACTTAGTGTTAAATTGGATGCATTGTTATTTCCTTTAGGAGCTTCTGAAGAAGTACTCAGAGATGGGTAATGATTATGAGTGCTTGGACAGATTGTCTCTTGACTTGGAGAAGGAAATTGAAACCCAAAAGGAGATTTCAGTCCGAGTAAAAGCAAACCTCTCACTTACACACCCACAAACCAGAGAGATTCAGAAACTTCTTACTGCAAACCAGAGATGTTCCATGGAATTCCACCGAGTCTTAAAAAAACTTAAGGTACCACCCTTTTTAGTTATACCCTTATGAAATTTCACCTACAAATTTCCAGGTATGGGCTGGGAAAGTGACTCAGTGGTAGAGCGCTTGCCTTGCATGCCTGAGGCCCTGGGTTCGATTCCTCAGCACCACATAAGCAAAAAGGAAAAAAGCCGGAAGTGGCGCTGTGGCTCAAGTGGTAGAGCGCTAGCCTTGAGCTGAAGAGCTGAGGGACAGCGCCCAGGCCCAGAGTTCAGGCCCCACGACTGGACCCCAAAAAAAAAAAAAAAAAAAAAAAATATATATATATATATATATATATATAAAATTTTTTTAAAGAAAATAGATCTCAAATGTCTTAGCTGGAAAATCTAGGTGATTAGCAATAAGGAGACAGTATGTATATTAAGATGGATGGATGGCTAGATGTAGGTAGGTATAGATGTAGATCAATCTAGATACCTAAGCCAGGAAGTCAGAGCAATGGAAATACAGAAGTAGCTTCTGCAAGTTGACTCTCTTAAGATATAAAGAGGAAAAATTAGGGGATGATAATAGCTTCTTTCTTCCTCATGTATCAAAAGTCTTCCTCATGTATCAAAAGAGATAAATAATAAATGACATACTTTCCTACCTCACAGTCTCAGGGAGTTAATGTCTTCTAAATACAATAAAAATTTCATTTTTCTATGTTTGCTTCTACAAGTATGTGTTGAGTCATGTTACAAAAGTAAAGGAAGAGCAGCATGATTCCATCAATAGACTTGAAGTGGATTATGTCAATGAAGTGGAAAAGCAAAGTGAACTGCAAATGAAAATATGGAACCTTCAACAGAATTCTGACATGCCATCCCAAGAATTAAAGGACCAAAAACTCAACCAGATTATGGATCAACACGCTGAGGTATAATTTATTTTAGGTTTTGATTCTAGTTTAAGCCTTTTTTTCAAGTCAAAAGGTCCCTTTTCATGTGTTTAGAATCATTTTCACCGACCAGAAATTTAAAATAGATTTCAGAATAACAACTGGGCTGACATAAAGATTCAACCTCCTTTCAGAACTCCGTAGACACAGAAAAAACACTTGCAAGTGGAAGTAATGGCATCCCAGATTAAATCTCAGGTGCTTTCTCTCAGTTCTTGCATCTGTGCAAGATATTCCAGTCCATCTGTGACTGGAAGTCAAAAACAACTCCCTTGGGGTGGGAGGATGTAGTCAGCTTCAATGTGTACCACCATGCCCAACTTCTTTCTACTGAGATGAGGTCTCACAAACTTTTCTGCCTAGGCTGGCCTAGAACCACAGTCTTCCTAATCTTAGCCCTTCCCAGCAGCTGGGAAGGTATACACCACTGTGCCCAGCTACTAATTGAAAAGGGGTCTCTGGTGTATATGCCTGGGCTGGCCTCAATCTGCAGTCCTCCCAATCTCAGCTTCCAAAGTAGCTACTATTATAATTGTGAGCCATTGGTGACTGACATACTTGAAAATACTATGAATGAGATTCCAACGTGATTTTCACATATATCTGTGATATATATCATATATATAATTTTTTGCATTTCATATAGTAGTTACACAAAATCTTTCCTAATGATCAATCAATTTATTTCATGGTTTTCACACAGGAAATTCTCAAAGATTTCTCAGAAAATGACTTCACCAGCATAAAGACCGAATTGCAACAGGTGCTAAGCAACAGGAAAAAAATGACTCAGTTTTTAGAAGAGTGTTCAAAAACTACTTTTGATATACAGAAGGTTAAATGTGGCATCCAGAAAGAAAACACGAACATTTGTCAAGTGAATAACTTCTATAATAACAAGATAAATGTAAGTATATTAGCTTTATGATGCTGCTTCATTCTTTCTGTTGTTTGCTTTGTTTTTCTACTTCATTCCTGAGAAACTTAAAATGAGTTAACTTTAAGTCTGCTTCATTTATTTATATATTCATTTTAAGAAAAGTTGGTTTTAGCTGGATGCCACCTATAGTCCTAGCTACTCAGGAGGCTGAGGATCCCAGTTCAAAGCCAGCCTAGGCTAGAATGTCAGTGAGCCTCCTATCTCTAATTAGCTCCCAAAAAGCCAGAAATGGAACACCCAGGTCCTGCATCCAAGCCCAGAACTGGCACCCTAAAAAAAAAAGCCTGGTTTTGTAAAACATATTCTTCCTCTAATGTATTAGACTTCCTTAAGATAATTAAATATAAATTCATATATAATATAATTTCAAATATAAATATATACCTATGAAAGTAACAAACTGAGGCTAGGCACAGTGGCTTATGCCTATAATTCTAACTGCTCAGTGGCACAGATCAGAAGAATCATGGTTCCAGGGAAACCTCAAGCAAAAATTTCATGAGACCTCAGTTCAACGAATAAAAATCGCACACCTGCCAACTCAGCTACCCCTGCCAATGGTTGGTCTCTATTCTTTCTGTGGCATCACGGCCGTTTCCAGAATGTAACACTGGACAGAGTCTCCACATTATTTTCTCTCACTAGTAATGTGAATGGACCCATTTGTCTAGTGGCATGCATACTAAATGACATCTTGTGACTACCAAGTTTTGACAGTTAGAAATACAGCTGCTATAAGCAGACATATGAAGTTTTTCTTCTGAACAATTGTTTCAGCTTGTTTGGGTAAATCCCATGGAATGTAGTAGCTGGCTTCTGGTAAAAGGCTGCTCACTTTTGTAAGATACTGATAGACTGTTTTCCACAAGAGGCTGTGTTACAGGTATTTGTGATGCCGGCAGGCAATGAGTGATTTCAGAACTAGTAACCTTCAATGTTATAGACAGTCCTGATGACAATTCTCTGCATGGAAATAAGACTTTCACATTATCAATCATCAGGGAGTTATTTTCCCTATAAACACTAAGGTATGGAAAATAGGTCATAGCTGCATATAGTAGGTCTGCTGTGCTGTCAGCTGTAGTCTATATAATGCCCCTGTAAATTACTTTAGAAGTGTAAAGGTGTTTTGCTATTCAACAGGCCATAATAAATGAGTTGTCAGAGTTTGAAGAACGAAGTGCAGTTCGATCCAAAGAATGGGAGCACAACCTGGAATCAATGAGAGAGAAAAGTCAAAAACTACTTAGCGACCACCAGATGTTGTCAGTCTCCCAGGTGCCTGGGCCCTGCGTTACTCCTCCTACTCAAGACAATGCAAATCACAGTACAATGAGAGCCATGCAGCTAACCACAGAGGTATGTGAATCCTCACATAGTCATCTTCAGTTTAAAGCTGTTTCATGGAGTTCTTGATCACTTTTCATCATATGCATTTGACTTTTTTACATATATTTTCATTTTTAATCCCAAAACTAATAAAAATAAAAGGCCAGGTATAAGCCTATAATCCAAGCTACTCAGGAGTCAGTTCCAAGGTCAGCCCAGGAAAAAGTATTAGACTCTATTGGAAAAAGAAAGTGAAGCAAAAACTTGGGGGCATGATTCAAGTGGTAAAGCACGTGCAAGCACAAAGCCCTGAGTTCTTTCTTCAGTTCTATACATGCATACATACATACATACATACATTCATTCATTCATTCATACATAAATGAAGAGATATTTGTGTGTGTGTGCACACATGCACACAAACTCTACTTCAGTGACTTCCATGCAGATTCAGTTAATTTCTCTCCAAAAAACATGTCTTATATTCCCAGTAGGCTATATTAATGGAAAATGATTCCTCACTTTTTAAAAAAATCAGTTAATAAGTACACTTTTAATAGCATTATTATAATATTGGAATGTCTATTTAACATGCTTAACACTAACCAGGAGGTCACAAAACCATTGTACTGTTTCATCTGTGCCATTTAAGAATTTGATGATTGGGGGCTGGGAAGGTGGCTCAGTGGTAGAGCGCTTGCCTTGCATGCATGAGGCCCTGGGTTCAATTCCTCAGTACCACATAAGCAAAAAGAAAAATGCTGGAAGTGGCGCTGTGGCTCAAGTGGTAGAACGCTAGCCTCGAGCTGAATAGCTGAGGGACGGCGCCCAGGCCCAGAGTTCAGGCCCCACAACTGGACCCCCCCCCAAAAAAAAGAATCTGATGATTGATTGATATAAAATATTGGCATTTGGAGCTGGGCACCGGTGGCTTATGCCTGTAGTCCTGGCTACTCAAGAGGCTGAGATCTGAGGATCGCAGGTCAAAGCCAGCCCAGGCAGGAAAGTCTATGAGACTCTTATCTCCAATAAACTACCAGAAAACTGGAAGTGGTGCAGTGGCTCAAGTGATAGAGCACTAGCTTTGAGCTGAGAGCTGAGGGACAGCACCCAGGCCTAGAATTCAAGCCCCACGACTGACCAAAAAAAAAAAAAAATATATATATATATATATATACACACACACACACACACACACACACATATATAGGTATTTCTTAATCTAAAAGTCAGCATCTTCTAAATAAGGAAAATATCATGTCTCTTTCCTTTGTTATTATAATCTGGGAAAAATTAACACTATCTGAATGCAGTCATCATTTTCTCAAATCCACACCGTGATTCTGCCTTTAGGGTAGTCCTGAGAAGTTTTTGTTTTCTCTAATAGAAAATTCAGGAGCTGGAAACTTCCCTCCGTGAAGCTAAAGAAAGTGCTGTCCATAAGGAAAACAAGATCATAAAGATGCAGAAAGAACTAGAAATAACCAATGACATGATAGCACGACTTCAGGCCAAAGTTCATGAATCAGACAAATGCCTTGAAAAAAATAAAGAAACAATCCAGATGCTTCAGGTAAATAAAAGTTACTTTTCTTATATGTTGGATTTGAAAAATGATTTGGTTCTGTCCTCCTTACCAAAACTTCCAGTTCCCTGTCCTATCTGAAGTTTATTATTCAGGCTCACAAAAATGCAAGCAACTTAGATGGAATTTTTCATATATAATGTCGATCATTTTTATTATGCTAGAAGAGAGAATTTTAAAACTCATTAACATTGTTCTTTATACATGGAAAGTACTTTTTTCAAAAATTAATGTGTTTTTTCAATCTTTTATTGAGTCTTTTTTTACAACACTGGTGAAATTGAAAGTAGTTTTATTGTATGCTTTTTCTCTCTATAAAACAAGGACAAAGTTGCTCTAGGTGCTCAGCCCTATCAGGAAGAAATTGAAAATCTCAAAATGAGGCTGGTGGAGGTTGACCTTGAAAAAATGAAAAACACCAAGCAATTTGAGAAGGAGTAAGTCTTTGCCTTCATTGAACAAATACTTACTGGCTTACCTGTCTTCCTAAACTACATAAATAAGTGATCTATGAAAATGCTGCTTATATATATATATACATGTATATATGTGTATATATATGTATATATAAGCAACATTTTAAATTATTAAATTATCATTTTGTATTCAAGTTAAGCAGTTTTGGTCAATTAACTCCCTGTGTCTTTTAATGCTTCCTTCTCAGCCATAGAAAAAAGAAAAATAGCCTTTCATGCTTAAAAGTGAACATTGTGATACTTCTCTCTTTTTTTTCCTATTGTGTTTCTATAAGGATTTTTTTTTCCTATTGTGCTTCTATAAGGATTATGCTTTCTTGCTGTAATCCCAGCACTCAGGAGGCTGATCCATAAAATCATGAGTTCATGGGCTACTTAACTTTTTTTAAAAAAGAAAAAAGAAGGATGATTCTGCACTGGGCTAAAGACTTACATTTTATTGAAATTCTATTAGATTCTTAATTATAAAAGACATTTTTACTGAGAAAATGGAGTCAACAGATATTCTCATAGTTCTTCACAAAAGCAAAAACTATCTTTTTATCATTGCTAACAAATGCTTAATATAATAAGTTATAAAATGTACAGAATTTCACCTTGGGCCTCAGTTTGATACAGTCAAGGTTTGCCTTATTGACAATATAGAGGGAAAAAAATAATGCTTTTCTTTTTTATATTCTAGTAAAATTGTACATTGTAACAGATCTATGGCTTGTTTTATGGTGTCTCCAAATAGTGTTCACTTAATATCTGCTGGGCTTCCAGAAATTTTCAAAGAATTGGTTTTTCAATATAGAGGAAACTAGACTGTCCCCACAACTGAACAGAATCCTTCCGCAAATGGGTTTGTAGCTATAAAGGCCGTGATGGGAAGGTTACTATGAAAGCTCGTCTGCTGCTGTTATGGGAATTATGTCAGTATAATGTACTGGAAAATTCTTGACCACAGGTCTGTTTGTTCCTCCATGTAAAACTAGTTACTGGACTTTTACATATTATTATTATTGTTGTTGTGGTTAGAATTCATTCTACAAAAGCCACTGTGGACTATCAGAAAGAAGTAATAAGAGTCTTGAGAGAAAACCTCAGAAGAAATCAACAGGACCAAAATACCTCAAGTAAGTAGAAAATGAAGACATTTTCAGATCCTTCCCATTTACTTCAACACACCTGCAGACTTCGAAAACTCCAATGTTGTGTCATTCTAAGCTCAACTTAATGACCACACTTAAAATTAATGCATTGCAGTATTTTTCTTATTACATATCTTTTAAGTTTGCTCTAACCTCACCTGCTTATGCATTATAGAGTCTTTAAATTCTTGAGTTTTGAGACTGAGAATATGGCTTAGTGGTAGAATGCTTGCCTAGCATGCATGAAGCCCTGGGTTCAATTCCTCAGTAACACACAAACAGAAAAAGCCAGAAGTGGCGCTGTGGCTCAAGTGGTAGCGTGCTAACCCTGACAAAAAGAGGCTCAGAGACAGTGCCCAGGCCCTGAGTTCAAGCCCCAGGACTGGCAGAAAAGAAGTCTTGAGTTATATTTTCTGCATTATCAGATCTTTACAGATTCCTGAGATATTTTCACTACTATAAATGAATAATTTCACTATCAAGGAAGAACTGCCCTCCCCAATAAAAATCAAGCACATTTTGCTAGACTTTAACAATGTGAAGCTATTAAAGGCAATTAGAGCATAGTAGAAATAAATCTTGTAATTATTTGCTCATTAAACTGTAAGAGTCTTGATAATTACTTAGAAAATTCTTTGAGATGTATTTAGATACTTTTAGTAATTCATCATGTAATTTTAGCATATGCAGTCCTCAAACCTATTTTCTCCTATTTCTGCTTCTCCCATTATTTTTATGAGATTACTGAGTAGTATTTGGTGTGTCTAGCTAAAACTCGGAGCAATCTCCACACTGCCCTCACTGGCTGACCAAGTGAAATCCTGGAACCCCTGACTCATAATGTACCTGTGAAGATCAAACCAAAGTTGTTTGTGGGCACACACTGAAAATTCTAAATGCTAAGCAAAATACAAGACGGGATTTGCAAAATCTAAGATATTATCTGCATATTTCAAAAGAACATAGAGATATTCTCAGCAGTATTGGTAGGACCTGTTCTGCATGACCTTCCTCAGTGTCTGCTGGATGATCTCCACTCCTATCTATAAGACGTCAAGGGAAACTGGACATCAGTGGCTCATTCCTGTAACCCTAGCTAATCAAGAGGCTGAAATCTGAGGATTGTGGTTCAGAGTCAGCCCTGGCAGATAAATTTGCCCAAGCTGTTATCTCCAAATCCACCACCAAAAATCAAGATTAGAGGTGTGGTTCAAGTAGTACAGCACTGACTTTGAGTCAAAAAAAAGAAAAAAGAGCTCAAAGTCCTGAGTTTAAGCTCTAGTATCATATAAGTGTTATAAGTGAGTCATATAAGTGTTATAACCCAATTATAAAGAACTGATTTATGTTTCATATACACCATATATATACAACCTGAAACCAATTTTATATGATAATCATATGACATAATAATCAGGTATACACAGTGAGCCATTGGAAAGCAAAGGTGCCACTATATTAGCCACCCAGGTAAACAGTCCCAAGTTTCCCACGTGTGTGATCTCTGTGCTCAAAACCTTTTCAATATCTGAGCATTTCAGATTTACCTATATTGTACCTGAATTCTACCTCTCCTTTATGAAATATTGATGTGGTTGACCTAATGTGTTATTACACTAACACACAGCTCACATTTTTATGCAGTTTTACCTGCAGTCTGAGGAACAGTTTCTTGCATCATTTTCATACAAGAATAATTACTAACACTTGCTTCCCTGTCATTCAGAAGTATATATTGAGTACTTAAACCGTACTAGCTGACTGGGCTGGAATTCATGTATGCTCTACGAAAGCCAGCGCTGGGAATGAGCATGGCTGGGAAGCAGGGACCAACTAGACAGCCCTCACTGGGGTGACTGCTGTTATTGTGGTCAGGGTGGAAGATCGTGAGCCAGATAGCTTACTGGGATTGGTTAAGGTGAGCACTAATTATACTTATAATCCTAGCTCCTACAGAGGCTAAGATCTAAGGATCAAGGATCCAAGCCAGCCTGTGCAGACAAATCTTCAAGACTGTGAGGTCAAATTAAAAGCTGAAGCTGGAGACCTGGTTCAAGTGATTGAGTGTTAGCCCTGAGTAGAAAACGTTCAAGCCAGGGATAATGTTAGAGGGAATCTGTTGCTAGATAATGAGGTTCTCACATGGGTGTGCATTTGCCTCCCACAGTGGTATCAGAACACACTCACTCTCAGCCCCCAAGTAAACCCTTGACCTGTGGAGGCGGCAGCGGCATTATACAAAGCACCAAAGCTCTTATTTTGAAAAGTGAATATATAAGGCAAGAGAAGGAAATTTCTAAGCTAAAGCAGCAAAATGAGCAGCTAATAAAGCAAAACAGAGAACTGTTAAGGTAAGACCTGCCCCCTACCTCTTGTACGTGTATTGTCCCCCGGTCCCCAAGCGCAGGCCCTGCCCCTCCTGTTCCAGTGCTGTGCTAATACTGGGGGTGGGGTTATACGTACAAACTTGGTGTACTTAGAAACTCATCACTGTTACTGGGCAAGCAATTTTTAGAGTTCATGTGATATGTCTTTTTTAACAAGAATAATAATATGGGAGCACCACTACAGATGTTAGCTGTTTATTATCTGACCTATTTTTGATGGAGCCAACAACCAGGAAATAGAGGCCTTTGAAGGCACAGCTGAGATAAACCACAAGTCTAGATCCACAGATAATGAGGCCCTTACTCAGTGGACAGCTAACTCCTAGGTCCATTAACTAGCCTATTTACTTTACAAACAAATGTAATAAATTTACTTGTGTGGTTTCTTCCACTATGGAAGATTAGAGTATCTAAAAACAATACAATAGAAGAAAACCAAGCATTAAATAATTTTCAAATAAATAGTTCTTTACAAACTCAAAAACGCAGGCTTACAGGCTTATGCCTGTAATCCCAGTATTCACATGGTCGAAGCAAGAAGATCAAAAGTTTGAGGCCAGCTTGGACTGTATAGTGAGAATATCTCACTATACAGGAGGGAGGAAGAGAGCTAAACTAGAGAAACTTTTTAAGATGTTATGAAAAGGAAGTCTGATCTTATGTGGAAGTTGGGTGAGAGTCATAACCAAACACTAAAATACAGTACATCTGGAACAGTATTAGGAATTAATCTAGATGAAGAAGTACAATATCCTTTGTAAAGTTCATAAAAGACTCATCCATAAGACTAATCTATTGAATTGTTGCAGCAGTATCAGTACATAAACCATTCTGAATGATAAAAATTCACCTGAAAATCCAGTGTCACAATTTCATATCCACAGTGTTATATAGACCCAATCTCACTTTCTGAACTATGAAAATAGTTCAAACCTGAAAACATTTTATTGAAATTAAAATGTAAATGTGAGGAAATGGTAACTTTCATGTTTTGTATACTTTAGGAGAGCTTTTTTTAAAAAAACATATTTTTATGTGACTACGTTTAAGAATTAGGCAGTCTAATGATATCCTTTTTTTCCCTTATACTTAAGCAGTAATCATCATCTTTCTGATGAAGTCAAAATTTGGAAGGAAAGAACCCCTAAGAGAGCAGCTCAGCAAGAAGTGACATGTGAGAATTCTTCAAAGTCTCCTAAAGTAACGGGAACAGATTCTAAAAAGAGACAGAACGTGTCATCCCATTGCAAGGAGTTGAATGTACAAGATGCTGTGCCAAAGGAGTCGCCACATTCCTGGTTCTTCGATAACCGATCAAAGTCTTTCCCAGGACCTCATCCAGTTCACTATTTTGATAACTCTGGTTTAGGCCTTTGCCCAGGTAGGTGAATGTACAGGTTACCTGGAAATACATGGATCACAACTGGAACTTCTAAATGTTTGATACCAAAGGTCAAGTTTAGACAAGAGATTTGGTCTCATATGAGAAAGTCAGCTCTTCTGAGGCTTGGGACTAAAGAGCTGTCAGGTTTTACCCCATTGCCTCAAAACTTCAGTGTCATGAACTCTTCCTCCTATTGTTAAGTGGTTACCTTTTACCACTGGGGTGACATTTTCAAAATTTATAACTCGTTCTCTTCCTTAGCACAGCTTAAAATCTCTCCAAGTCTTCTAGCTGCTCTCAGGACAAGGCACAATTCATTTGTACAATTTTTAAAAGTCCCACATACCTAACTCTTCACCCACCTATGGAAATCTGTACTTAAGAAGGTTCTTGAAATGTTCACTACAATACATACAGTAGTAGCCCACCTTTATCCATGGGGCTTTCATTCGAAGGCCTGTGTAGATGCTTGAAATCCTGGATAGTATAGGATTCTCTATGTGCTACTTTTTCCTATGCATACTTACTTTTAATCAATTTTGACCTTTTCCATTTAAAAGGAGCAATGTATGGTATCCCTTTGGTATAAAGATGGCCAGCCTGCCTGCTTTTAAGGCTGTGGTGCTATTACTAAGTAAGACAGGGTTGCCACACACAAGCACTCCAATACTAGATGGCCATTGGGATGCTGAGATGCTGCTATGCACACATCCGGTGTGAACACAATAAACCAAGCAATGATGCATGTCCAGGGCAGGGCAAAGCAAGTTTCCATCACTACTCATGGTGCCATACCATTTAAAACTTTAATTTTTATTTCTGGAGGTTTCTAGTTAATACAATTGGATTATAGTTGTCCACAGGTAACTGAATCCATAGAGAGTAAACTTGGGATAACAGGTGATTACTATATTTGTCTGGTATAGCACACCATTTTGTTTCCTAAAAAAATGGGCTAGATGAGATTCAAACTTAATTCATGTTTAATTCTCGCACATTAATGTAGTCTAGATGAAACTTTCTCACCTCTTGGCTTTATGTATTCTACAGTTTTCCTAACAGTTCTGGTTATGGCACAATGAAGAATAAACTTCTTTCTTTTTTTTCATTTGGTGCCAATAAAGGAGCTTGAACTCAGGGCCTGGGAGATGTCCCTGAGCTTTTTTCTTCAAGGCTGGCACTCTACCACTTGAGCCACAGCTCCACTTCTGGTTTAGGAGTGGCTTCAATTGTGATTCTCAGATCTCAGCCTCCTGAGAAGCTAGGATTATAAGCGTGAGCCACCTGTGCCCAGCCACCTTTTTAATTACCAAATGCAGTGGACCACATTACCATTTCCCATTTCTGTGTCCCTTCTGTGCCCAAGACCTTTCTTCCAAATGTGATTGATATCTTTCTAATAGGATTTGTTTTTATTTTATTCTCAGAAGAACAAACTGAAGGAGCAGAGAATGTGGATCCTCAGCCACGGCCTTGGCACACCTCTTCAGGAAAAGATGAACCTGAATGCAAAATCCAGTAGGCCCCTCCATCATTCTCCATCTCTGGAGGCCCAGCACGCCTCCTTCAGAAAGGACCTTCTGTGCCTCCCCAGCGCGACTTAATTTTAGTTTAATTTTCACTTTGCCGCTCGAGGAAAGATGAAGGAACAAGATAGTAATTTATTCTAGTGATTTGTAGTGGTGATAACAGTGCAAATGCATGTGGTAATACTTTTAAACATTGAACTTTATATTTATTTATATATATACAATAAAGAAGAAAGTTATTGAAGGAAATTTCCTGGCTTTCCGTGTAGTCATAAAGTCTACCACTTGAGCCACAGCGCCACTTCCGGCTTTTTTCTTTTTGCTTATGTGGTGCTGAGGAATTGAACCCAGGGCCTCATTCAGACAAGGCAAGTGCTCCTCCACTGAGCCACCTTCCCAGCCCCAAAGTCTATATATTTTTTGGGGGGGGTCCGGTCGTGGGGCCTGAACTCTGGGCCTGGGCACTCTCCCTCAGCTCTTTAGCTCAAGGCTAGCACTCTACCACTTGAGCCACAGTGCCACTTCTGGTTTTTTTCTTTTTGCTTATGTGGTGCTGAGGAATCGAACCCAGGGCCTCATGCATGCAAGGCAAGCACTCTACCACTGAGCCACCTTCCCAGCCCCAAAGTCTATATTTTTAATTTGGAATTATGTATGTAGGGCTTAGAAGTAATTCTAAAACATAGCACATAAGTCAGTAACATTTATTGACAAAGTTGTAACTATGTTTTTAGAACCTTAAACATTCAATAAATGGTTAGCCAATTGGTTCTGAATTGCAGCTCCATGTGGTATTTCTGGGGGTTTTGATGGGTATTCTTTTTTTTGGCGGGGGGGTCCGGTTGTGGGGCCTGAACTCTGGGCCTGGGCGCTGTCCCTCAGCTCTTCAGCTCAAGGCTAGCGCTCTAGCACTTGAGCCACAGTGCCACTTCTGGTTTTTTTCTTTTTGCTTATGTGGTACTGAGGAATCGAACCCAGGGCCTCATGCATGCAAGGCAAGTGCTCTACCACTGAGCCACCTTCCCAGCCCTTTTGATGGGTATTCTATTCAGGACTTGGCTGTGAAAAATATACACATACTTTCTGGGTTTCAGTACTAGATTTTGTTTTTGATTTTTTAGGTGGTATTTCTGGAGGGAAAAGCTTCTAGTAGGTAGTACTTTTCCATTTTCATTAGATTCTAAGAACTTTTGGATTTCCTTCCCATTTCTTCAATGACCCATTCATCATTCAGCAATACATTGTTCAGTTTCCATGTATTTGAATATTTTCCATAGTTGTTTTTGCTGTTGAATTCTAGTTTTATTCCTTAGGGTCTGATCCAATTCAGGGAGTTATTTCAATTTGCTTATATTTGCTAAGTCTATGTTCACGATCTATTTTAAGTCATCTTGAACATAATAGATCACCAATATGATCAATTTTAAGAGGAAGTTGTGCACCTGTTGAAAACAGTGTGTATTGTGTGATGTGCAATGGTATCAAATGAGCTGGAGTGTTTGGGTAGGGGAGGGCTGTCTCCCACCCACCCAGCAGTCAACACTTGGAGCCAGGCTCAGGCCCTGGAGACTGAGTACTTAGCTTAGAGCACTCAAACTTATGGGAGTCATTTCTGATCTAGGAGAGTGGAACCTGGGACATCTCCAGTGCTCTTACATTCTCTGCCAGGAGTTTTCAGCCTCTCCTCAGCAGACTCCTAAAACAGCTCTGTCTAGCTTAGACAAGAGAGGCAAGACTGTCTCTGGTCCATGCCTCCACAGGGAGTCCCAAGTCTCCATTCCTCAAGGGGTCTCAAGTGGCTACCTCTTCCCTACAGCTTCTAAGCTGCCAGTTTGTTTCTTGCAGCTTATACTTCCCTATGGAGCCCAGTAAGTTCTCTCCCTCACAACCAATTGATGTACACATTACAGAGCAAGGTGTCCTGTGACTTCCTGAGCTGTATTTTCCTTATTCTCAGGCCTTCAGAGCAACTCCCCTAAAGCAATAGGCCCTCCTTCAAGATGGCATAAAACAAATCTTGCCTGCCATCTTGTCCTGTCATCCCGAATTTCAATTGTTCAGGCACAGAGGCTACATCCTCTTGTCTTTCTAGTCCCAGTCTTCCTTTTGCTTTCCTGAGTACAGAAATCCTTTTTCATTTTTCTGTTAACCTACTCATCCCCGTTTCCTATACAAACACTCAAAAATGGCTTATCAGACTTTGTTTTTCTCCTCAACTCTTCCCACTGGAAAAATCTCATAGATCAAATGATAATGTGTGTGAGAGAGAGAGAGACAGAGAGAGAGAGCTTAAAAGCTCAAGGCTAGCATTCTACCACTTGAGCCACAGCTCCACTTCCGGGTTTTTGGTGGCTAATTGGAGCTGAGACTCTCATGAACTTTCTTTCCTACTTGGGTTGACCAGGATCCTCAGTAGCTAAGACTATGGGCATGAGCCACCTGTGCCTGGCTCACATAATCTTTTCTATTCAACCTCTTCATTGTAGACAGAGTTCCTATCTGAGTAAAGTTTTCTCAACCTGAGGTCCTTAATTGTATATAAAGTATACCTGGATGAGTTTTATGTCATCTTAAGAACTGAGAACTTAAGATTTAAGAATTCTAGGTGAACTCATATGTGGACCTAATTTTCAGAGATGCTATAGTCTTTTACTAAAGAACTAAGACAGGGATGTTGGCTCATACCTGTAATTCTAGCTACTAAGGAGACAGATTGGGAGGATCATGCTTCAAAACCATGGCTTGCCTGTCATCCCAGCTACACAGGAAACATAAGATCACAGACTAGGCCACTCAAGGCATAAATTTAAGACCCTATTCATAGACTAGTGAAGGCAAAGG